GGTGTAGCACTTCCTGCGGTTGCAGGGAAAAGTGCCGGGTGTGGTGGGGCTGGAGGGGAGTGTGGAGCGGACAAGGGAGTCACGGAGAGAGTGGTCCCTCCGGAAAGCAGATAAGGGTGGGGAGGGAAAGATGTCTTTGGTGGTGGGGTCGGATTGCAGATGGCGGAAGTGTCGGAGGTCGCGAACCATTTCAACTCCCCCTCCCATTCCTCAGACGACATGTCCATCGTGGGCCTCCTGCAGTGCCACAACGATGCCACCCGAAGGTTGCAGGAACAGCAACTCATATTCCGCTGGGAACCCTGCAGCCCAATGGTATCAATGTGGATTTCACAAGTTTCAATATCTCCCCTCCCCCTACCGCATCCCAAAACCAGTCCAGCTCGTCCCCACCTCCGTAACCTGTTCTTCCTCCCACCTATCCCCTCCTCCCACCTCAAGCCGCACCCCCATCTCCTACCGACTAACCTCATCCCGCCCCCTTGACCTGTCCGTCCTCCCTGGAATGACCTATCCCCTCCCTAACTCCCCACCTACACTCACCTTTACTGGCTCCATCCTCGCCTCTTCGACCTGTTTGTTTCCTCTCCACCTATCCTCTCCTCTATCCCTCTTCTATCCGCCTCCCACTCTCTCCCTATTTATTTCAAAACCCCCTTCCCCTCCCCCTTTTCTGATGAAGGGTCTAGGCCCGAAACGTCAGCCTCTCTGCTCCTATGATGCTGCTTGGCCTGCTGTGTTCATCCAGCCCTGCACCTTGTTGTCTCTACCATTCTTAAATCCTCTTTGCAATCAGCTCATCACAATCCTTAAATCCCCAAATTTTCAATGATCCATCCATCTCCTCTTTAACTGCTTAGTGATCTATTCACAAATCTCTAGGGTACAGCATTACAGACATTTACTACTTTGAGGGAAGAAATTCCTTCAACCTTTACATTTCAGGAGCCATCTTCGTGAATCTCTTTTGAATGGTCCCTAATGCTTGAATATGTGACCAGATCTGGGCATGGTATTCCAGCCTCACCTACACCACGTTCCTTAAGTCCTCATTGCTACATGTCCTCCCCACGTACTTTTATATTGTCAGCAAATTTGGATACCTTGCATACTGCCTACTCTAAGTTACTAATGTAGATAATGAATAATTGAAGCCCTAGGACTGATCCTTTTGGTACTCCACTAGTAATGTCTTTCCAACTTGAAAAAGATGCGTTAATCTCAAATCTGTATTAATCAATCCTCAAACTATGCTAATTGTTACTCCCAATTACTCGAGCGTCTACCTAGTGCAATAACCTTTTATGTAATATCTTATCAAATGCTTTCTGGAAATCCAAATACATAACATCTACCAGTTCCCCTTTCTCAATTCTGTTTGTTATTTCCTCAAAAAACTGCAGCAAATTTGACAAACATAAAATTTCTCTTTCACAAAATAGTGTTGCTTATAATTAATTATGTTAAGCTTTAATAAATATCCTACATTGCTTGCCCCTCCCCACCCCACCTTAATAATGAATTCCAGCATTATCCCAGTTACAGATTAGCCTGGCAGCCTCCTGCTTTGGTCTCCTTCCCTTTTTGAAGAGAAGCTTCATAATAAAAGGATTTCTAATCAGTTGGAATCTTCCCAGAATTCACTGAGTTCTGGAATATTTTGACCAATGCCTCTTTGATCTCAGTAGCCATTTCCTGATGCCGGCCATCAGGTCCTTGCAATTTTTCTGAAATTAGTCCCATTAATTTTTCAAATACTTTGCTCCTCATGATAGAGTCTGTTACAAAACATTTCCTCGAGGAGCACCTTACCTATCTGTTATCATTGGGATGTTCATGGCCTCCATTATGAAGACTAATGTAAAATATTGGTTTAACTATCTGCCATTTCCCTGTTCTCCAATATTAATTCCTGATTTGTATTCTCCAAGAGTCCCACACTTGATTTTGGTTTTTATTCTTTGCAACTCTTTCTTTCCGTATATGAATAGAAGTGAATTAGAGAAAAGGAAGATGGCAGAAGTGATATTATCTGAGTAGGAATGAAGGTTGAGCTAAGGTAGTAAAAGTGTCAGGACCAGAAACAATTTCAGCGCTATTTATTACCTTGCATTAAAACATCTGGCTGTTGTCAGCAGGTTTCCTCAATTACAATCTTGACGGATCACCCTTGTTTCACAATCTGTCCCACCTCCCCATCCATTTTAAGGTGTAATGCAGGCACTGTTGTCAACAAAGCTCCAGTCTGACTTTTGAGGCCTCTTTTCTGCTTCACACTACATTGTTCAATGCTAATGAGGATGGAGGCCTTACATGTGCCCATTCAAGAACAAATGTTTAGCAGGATTTGTATTGAACTCATTTAGGTAAGTATGAATGTCACAGCTATGAGATACAAATGAAAAAAGGAGCATTAGCAAACACTTGTATTCAGAGTTTAGAACTGACTTTAAGTTACGATTATGCAGATTTGGAAGAAGTGTAAAATGTGATTACACATCACAATAACCTTGTATGCACCACAGGCATTGTGCTTTATTACAAAACCAAAGCAATCAATGCAACTGTGCTTGTGGTCTCCTAAGACCTGTACACTAAGTAGCACTTATTAAATCGCATAAGGAAACAAACTATCGGGATATATTGTGTTCCACTGTTGGACGTATATTTCCATTGTTAACAGGGATCTTTGCATTTTCAATGGATTTAATTTGACTGGTATGTTGATGTATGGAAGTCTTTTTTTAAAATAGATCCATCAAACAGGTATTCTGTAAGGAGAAACTTAGTGCATTTAAACTGGGATTTCATGAAAATAAATTGAAGCAATGTTAATAAGTAATGATTTCTCTATTGCAGCTTTAATGATACAATGGAAAGGTAATTTAAACACTTTCAAACGGCTATGAGCTTAATTTATTAGATAATACTTATATATGGCAAAACATCAAGATTCTAATTCGCAACCAGGATATCAGTAACAAAATTGCATCATAAATCAGCTTTAGCTCATTTTCCTTGACTGTGAGCCATTTAGAAACATGTGCCATAATTAAAGAAGCCAGAATTGGGCACATTAATAAACACATTCATATAATTCATTTGACTTTGTGCAGAGATTTATCATATTGTGTGGTTCATAGTGACTTTTGTTCATGTCAGTTACTTTAACCATTACTTCAATTTTAATATGTTCAGCTCATGAATATTCTTTTGAAATTCAAAATGCTTATAGTTTCTACTGTGCATTGTTATGCCTACAATATTCAGAATTTTGGTTCAATACATATGCTGAATTATCTTGAACTAGAATTTAGAGAATGAACAAGGTTCAAATCTTCACTGTCTCTGCAATTGCAGTCTCTTTCTGGAGAAGCGCTAGCTCAAAAATAAGATTATTACGCGTTCTTCATGGAACATTCTTTACAAATTAGTTCGAAATATTCAAACGCCTCAAATCATCAGCTCTACCCAATTGATAGTCCAGCACAAAGCAGCAATCCTGAAATAGTTCTCCCATAGCTATGGTTTGCAGTAATTTGCTTTCTGCTTTCATAAATACTTAAATAGTTGTCAGATTTCATTCACTACAAAGAAACAACTATTATGCAAAACCTTGACCACTTTGAACAAAAAATGAAATACTTAAAACAAAACAAGGGCTTTGTTATTATAGATACTAAAACATTGAATGATGTGATAACTACAGTATTAAACTGAGAATATTCTTTCAAAGAAACTAAAAGAATTAGACTGGATGTGATACAAGTTGACTGAGGGTGGTCGAACAATTGGCATTGAGATTACAGGATCATTTGACAAATGTTTCTGCCCAATATCAGAAGCAATTCCACATTTCCCTCATTTCCAACGACATGAAACTTTCCCCTTGCCACGCTTTGAGCTAAAAAGGGGAAAAAAAGTGATGAATTATTGCAGCTTTTTTCAACTTCACATTACATAGAATTTGCAGAAGGGAAGCAGGTCTTTTAAGTCTATGCTGGTATTTATGCTTTGTAAGATTCTCCTCTCACTTGATTCCATCTACTTTATCAGCTTATTTCTCTATTTCTTTGGCCTTCATGTACTTAACCAAGTTCCCATTAAATGAATCTTTGCTATTCAAATGTAGGTATGCATGTTCCAATAATTATTTAGCAAGAGGCTAAAGAAAACCTAAGAGAATGAAAAGTATTAAATGTGATGAAGATGGGGGAATTGTAATAAAACAGGAATGTAAAAGATTATTTCAGTATGGTTTAGTGTAAGAAAATGAGAATTTATAGAACAAAAATCAGATAATAATGGTCTGGACAAATGTTGATCAATTACTGTTGATTGATGGAGGGGGTGGTGACGTTGTCATATTATCACTGCAATAGTAAAACATAAACCCATGGGGACATGAGTTTAAATCCCATCACAGCACTTGGTGGAATTTAAATTCAAATTCAATTAATAAAATCGGGAATTGAAAGCCTGCCTTAGTTCTGATGACAACAGAACTATCCTCTATTGTCATAAAAACCCACAATGTCCTTTAGATAGGTAAAGCTGCCATCCTCACCTGGTCTGGCCAACATGTGACTCCACAGCCATGGCAACAATGTGATTGACTTTCAACATTCCTTTGAAACGGTCTAGCAAGCTGCTTAGTGATATTTAACTACTACAATGTCTGCTAAAAGGAACAAAACAAGGCCGACTATCCTGCATTAACCAAGGCATAGAAATGGCCACAGCATGTGTAACCCACTTGAACCTGTAAAGACCTCCTTACTAACGTCTGAGAAACTGTGCCAAAATTGGGAGAGTTTTCCATAGGTCATTAAAGCAACAGTCTGACAAGGGCATTCTCACAGACTCTTGCCTTAAAAAACCAGAAAACATAACCACCATCCCTGGGAATGCCTTGCTCCATACAAAGGACATAACCATCAGAGGTTGAGGTGCAGTGGTATATAGTCAGGAGGGAGACACCCTGGGAGTCCTCAACATTGATTCTAGATGCCACAAAAATCTTGTGGAATTAGGTTAGACATCAAAAAGAAACTTCCCGCTTATTACCACGTATAGAAACCCCCAGCCTGCCATCGAATGAATCACTACTCCCCAATTGGCTCCTTTCCGGAGTGTGCTGCTTTCCAGTCAGAGAGGGCGAATCTTCCTCCAAAACACCCAGGTTATAGGGGTGCTGTGAAAGAAACATTGAGTTGCCTCTCCAATAACAGGCCAATTCTCTGCACGTGCTGCTGAGGGATTCATTAGCGAGTGCATCGGTAGCAACATGGGAGAGAACAACCCTTTGACTGGAACACCAGAGAGAAGGTACATAACAGCAGAGAGGAGTTGAGGAGCTTAATGGGTATGAGCAGGACCCAGTGCAGAGAAGCTGGGCCAGAGGGGAAATCGTTGCAAATATTCCTATCCTCAACTGCAGCTGAGCGCAGCAGATCAATACAAAAGTCAAGGCTGAAAAATGTGCAAGAATCTTCAGGCAGAATTGCTGAGTTAATCCAACTCAACCTCCTCCTGATGTCCCCAGAACCAGTCATACAAATTGCCAAGCAGTTCCAGTATGGTTATAACGCTGACATCTACGCAACAACATGAAAAATTACCAACACATGTCTGGTCCATAAAATAAACGCAACAATTCCAACCCAGCCAACCAATACCTCATCAGTCTACTCTTAATCCTTAGTAAAATGTTGAAACGTCACAACAGTGCGATCATATGACATTAACAAAACAACCTACTCAGCTCCTGACCTCATTGCAGCCGTGGTTTAAACATGGACAAAAGCTTTAAGCTCAAGAGTAGATGTGAGGGTGATTGCCCTTGACATCAGGGCAGTGTTTGACAGAGTGGCATCAGGAAGCCCAAGAAATATTGGTGTTTAATGGTATTAGAGGGAAAGTTCTCAGCTGGTTGGAATCATATGTAGTACAAAGGAAGATAGTTGTGGTTTTTGCAAGTTAGTCATCTCAGCTCCACGACATCTCTGCAGGAGTTCCTCAGGGCGTGTCTAGGTTCTACCATCTTCAACTGTTTCATCAATGACTTGCCCTCCATTAGAAGGCTCCTTAGATAGCTTCTTCTAAACCTAGGATCACTACCATCTACATTTCACAAATGAATTTTTAAAAAATTTGGGATGTTCGCTGGTGATTGCAAGATGCTCAGATACTGAAGCAATCCATGTCCATATGCAGCATGATCTGGACAACATTCAGGCTTGGACTGGTAAGTGGCAAGAAAAACCTTTGCTACAGAAGTACCAGGCAATGACCATTTCCAACAAGAGAAAACCTAACCTTCACCACTTGACATTTGCTGAATTTCCCATTAACGGCCTTGGGGTTAACCTTGACCAGAAACTAAATTTGACCAAACATACAAATAGTATGGCTCCAAGAATAGGGCAGAGTTTGGAAGTCTTTTTGGAAGGTAATTCACTTCCTGATTCCTCAAAGTTTGTCCATCATTTCCAAGGCACAAGTCAAAAGTGAGAAGGAATAGTTTACACTTGCCCGGATGAGAACAGCTCCAACAACACGCAAAAAGCTTGACATCATCCAGAACAAAACAATCCACTTGACTGCCCACACATCTAACAACTTCAATATTCACCACTTATATCACTGATGCACTGTGACAACTGTGTGTACCATCAACAAGATAGATTACAGCAACTCACCACAGCTCCTTAGACCCTATTGTCTAACCCCACAGTTTGCACCATCTACAAGAACAACGCATCCAATCCATGGGACCATCACCACCTCTTATTTCCCCTCCTAATCACACAATGCCTTAACTTGGAACTCCTTTTAACAGCATTTTGGATGTCCCTACACTACATAGGCTGCAGTGGTTCAAGACAACAGCTCACCACCGTCTTCTCAAGGGCAATTAGGGATTGGCAGTAAATGCTGGGTGTGCCAGCAACACCCACATTCCTATGAATTAATCAGAAACAATTGGAAGACCCTTAATGTGCTTACAGAAACCATAAACTTGGTATAATGTGAAATAACTGGGACCAGGTTTTACAAAAACTATTACAGATCAACAAACTATGATGTGATTGGTCTAATAATGAGAGGTATAGATCATGTCAACATGGTAAATGTGGCATTGAGTGTTCAATACTTACACCTTCTGGTGATCATTGACTCGGTTTCGAAGTACATTAATCTACAACACAATAAGAAGTGAAAAAAAAAACTTAGTTTACCAGGTCAAATAAGGAAGAAATCCTATAAGTGAGGAAAAAAAACTGATTTCATTCAATAAGTACAGCTGTCCTAATTCCTATAGTATTTTGTGTTATTGTTGATCATCTCCAATGAACATTGATCAAAATGAAACATACTGCGTAGAAAGTAGTTTGTAGATGAAATCTATATTCTTCTGTGGTGGCATTTCCCTTTGGGTGTACTTAAGAAAGAACTCCATCACTTAGCTCTGAACCACTGTCTTATTTCTAGTTCATTGCCATATTCAATTGAGACGCACAGTATTATGAGCCATCAAGAGATCAATTCAGAGTTGGGGTGAAGTCTTGTGCTTGAGAAGAGCTTAAATATTTATAGCTACATAAAGGGAAGGGTCAACAATTTCAATGGTGGGAATAGTAATGTGGTGAAACCAAAGAAAAAACAAACGTTTTCCCTAAAGCTAAAGTCCAGATTTTAAAGGAATCATGGAAACTGATTCAAAATGTGCAATGATTCTGGATCAAGAAGTCTTGCTTCCATTTCCAACAGGTCCCAATTTCATCAGTAGGACAAAGGGATAAAGGATGCGATTCATATTTGGGGAACTGGAGGCCAGCAGACCATTGGAACTCAGTGCTAAATTGAAGCCATTTCCCACACAGTGTACAACTTACAATTTTAAAGAGGAGATGTGAATACACATAAAATGCACATAAATACTTTTCCATTTAAAGTTTTGTTTACAAAAAAAGGTACTATTTTTGAGCTGAAAACAAGATTGACTGAGCAATAACCATCACTTTTTTTTGCCATAATTCCAAAGGCAATCAATACAGTATTATTACTGCCGGACTGTTTCCAGAACCTATTCTTATCAAAACGGAGGGCCGTAGGTTCACAGTTTGATTAACATCTCCAAGATTCATTGTCAGTGGAATAAATAATCTCTATTTCATAATCTTTCACAATGCATGTGTATATATCTCCTTTTACATTATATAGAGATTTTCGTTTGGAGGTTGGGTCACAGTGAGTAGAAAATGCTGGAGTTAAGTCACATTGATGTACAAAACATAACTGGTTACTGAAAAAGTGGTTACCTAGTTTTGAATGCAACATTGTGATGTTCATCAACTTTATCAAAACTCAAACTGGACTATACACGGCTGGTAAAAAAAAGTGGTTGTGAAAATTCAATCTAGCAAAAATATTCACACTTCTACGCACCTCATATTTCTGTTGTTTCATTTTCTCCTGTAAGTCAAATTTTTCTGCTTCCAGTTGGTAAAGCCACTTCCACAGCTCCCTGCCTTTCTCCCTGTTCACACAGTAATATAAACATTGTAGAATGATGGAAACATTGCTCTAAGTTTGACTGGAGTCCTTTATGAAAATCCTAAATTAGTAATGACATAAAAAGCAGATGAACTTTATTGTATGGGCCTAAAATGTTACAGATTCCTCTGTTTTCCCAATGGAATCCTGGTGAGATATTGGAGCAAATCAGTACAAAAATAGAATAACAATTGAAGACTGGATTATTTCTCAAGCAGACTCCGGGAACTAGATGTGAAAAATTAGTAGGCAAAGAATCAACAAAGCAACTTTATCCTTACTTCAGTTCATCTTCATTCAGGTCATCGATATCCAGAGATTTGCGTCTCTCTGCCAGAATCATCTTCTTTTTTTCCCTCTCCGTTTGTCTTTTCCCTCCTCGGCGAATTTCAGTCTAATTAAAGGAGAACAATTAGCTTGACTTCATCCTTTAATTCATTGCTCTGCTTTAATCAAATTGGAATATCATTAGCAAAATAGGATTCTGGTTTTTCTTAGATAAAGGAAACAATTTCAATTAAAAAGTATCCACTCGAAGGATAAAGTAAAATAGAGTGTAGGTCTTTCCAAAAAATGGTTGAGTTTGCAACAGTTTTGAAGAATTTACCAGTAGTTAACAATATGTTTAAACATAACTATATGTACATGACATAAGCTAATAAAATAAATACACACTGTACAAATAATATACTAATGACCTGGATGAAGAAAGTGAATGTGCAATCACCAAGTTCACAGATGACACAAGAACGGTGGAGGGGGAAATCAAGTGGTGAGGATAACACAAGCGTCTGCAGAGGGATTTAAACAGACTAAGTCAGTGGGCAAAACCTTGCCAGATGGAACACAAGGTCATGCATTTTGGCAAGAAGAATAAAGGAACTGAATGTTACTTAAATGGGGAAAGACTGTAGAAAACTGCAGCAGAGAGTGTTTTGGGGGGTTCTCATGCATAAACCACAAAAACCTGGCAAACATGTTCAGGAGGTTAATGCAAAGAGCCAAGGTTCAAAGGGAAGCAAGCTTAAAAGTAGGGAGGTTTTCCTTGAACGGTACAAGACCCTAGTCAGACCACAGCTGGAATACTGTGAACAGCTTTGGACCTCTATTTAAGGGAAGATTTACCAGCGTTCCAGAGAAGCTTCACTGAAATGATTTAGGCATGTGTTTGAGTAGATTGTGCTTTTGCTTCATTTCCATTGCCAGGTTGGTCCATAAATTGGATCGTGTTTGACCTCTGACACAGTGAGAATTTTGCAATTGATCTGAACTTTGAATCGACTTAGCAGAGCAAGTTATATTGATTCCTATTGAATGGAATCCCCACTCCACACCCAGCAAAAGACCCAAGTTTGAGTAGATTGGGGTGGTACTCTCTGGAATTTAGAAGAATGAGAAGCAACCTTGTGGAAAATTGTTATGGGGTTTGACAGGGTAGAAGCTGAGAAGTTATTAGAGAGTCTAAGACCCAGAAGGCATAATTTCAGAGTAAGGGATCACCCATTTAAGACAGAGATGAGGAAGAATTTGGCTCTCAATGGGCAGTAAATCTACGGAATACTTGATTTCTGAGGGCTATAGAGGCTAGGTCAGTTTGCAAGTATGTTCAATGCTGAGAAAGACAGATTTTTAATTCGTAAAATGAATAAGGGTTATGGAGAAAAGGCAGGAAAGTGAAGTTGAGGATACTCAGATGAGCCATGATTCACCTTAATGGTGGAGTAAACTCGATGGGCTGAATGGCCTACATCTTATGGTCTGGAATGAAAGCGTTTTATTCTTCACAGTCTAATTTAAGATATTGCCCCAAATCATGGTACTTCAATGTTAATATTTCTATACAAACACACTTCCAATAAAATTTATTGGAAATAATCATCATCAACTTTAAATACATGGGCTCGGGTTTTCCCATGGCCAAAGGGTCATTGGAGTAGCACAATCTGAAGTTGCACATCAGGACCAGACAAGATGCCTGACTCAGCAGGCTCCTTTGTAATTGCCTATAAAATTGAAACATCTGAGGGGCAATTCTTTTGTTTCTGGAACCCTTTGAAAAAGGCCCTTAAAATTGGAAACCAAGGGTTCCACATTGGCTAAGCTTAATAGTTACCCATAAAAATTTAGGGAATTAAAAAACCTACTTGAATTCCTAGTTAACTATTAACTGATTTCTCAACTCGCTGCTGAACCGGACCCCAGGCCTGACACCATACTTGGGCTCAAAAAACAAGAATCTATCCCTTTTAACTGGTTACATCTGTCCATGGTCCATGAAGGATCAATTGGATTCATTCCATTCCCTTTCCCCCTCATACCTCTGACCTTTGTTTCAGTGCTCATTTAATGTTGGTATCTCAAAAGTCCCAAAATGAAAATGATATGGATCTTTTGCTGGGTGTGGAGTGGGGAATGACACTCCACTGAGTAGAAATCTATATAACTTGCTCTGCTAATGTCTATTCAAAGTTCAAGTCAATTGAAAACTTCTCACTGTGTCAGAGGTCAAACACTATCCAATTTGTGGACCAACCTGACATTGGAAATGAAGCAAAAGCCCAATCTATCGCTCGCACCTCTATGCTTTGAAGATTTGAGGTGTCAGCTTCATAAGTTAATTCAAAGAGATGTTTGGAGCTGGGAACTGAATATTCAATCTTTAGTCACCATGTCTCAACAAGGAATATACCATAATCTGATTCCTATTTGTGCTTTCAGTTTATCCATCTTATTATGAATGTCACATGCATTCAGATAAAGAGCCTTTAATCTGTATTGCTTACCATTTTTTTCAAATCTGACCTCATTTACTGGTGCACTCATCCTTGTACACTGTGCTATTCTGTCACTGTCTGATTATTATTACTTGTCTCATTACGCTGCACTAAAATAAAGGCAAAGTACTGAAATAAGAAAGAAAAGGAATCATATTTGACTTAACTGCTAAACTTTGTTTCTCTTTTTGCAGATGCTGCCAGACCAGTTGAATTCCTCCAGCACTTTCCCTTTTTAGTTTATTGTCTTGCATTATTGCTTTGTCATTTCTCTTCGAGTTTTCAAATCTCTCCTCACGTGAATTCTGCCCTGTCACTTAGGCTAACACCCTCTCTTCCTCTCTGTTACCCTCTTATATGTCTCACCAGGATATTGGTTCTGGTGAAGGTCATTCCAATGATACAGCTCCCCCTTTCCCCATTACTAGCACCACACCCCCATAAATCAACACCCAATTCTACCACACCAATACTCGAGTTGCACATTCAACCATATTTATCCTTCATCAATTTGCTTGTGGTTCAGACAATAATCCAAAGATTATTTTTAATCTATCACCTAGCTGTTTATACAGACACCAATTATTCTGAAACAAAAACAGAAGTTGCTGGAAAAACTCAGCAGGTCTGGCAGCATCTGTGAAGAAAAATCAGAGTTAATGTTTTGGGTCAGAAATGTTAAACCCGAAATGTTAACTCTGTTTTTGCTTCACAGATGCCGCCAGGCCTGCTGAGCTTTTCCAGCAACTTCTGTGTTTGTTCCTGATTTACAGCATCCATGGTTCTTTTGGTTTTTAGCCAAAAATTCTGGATTAGTTGAAACTAATCAACTCTGTAGTACGAACCTATTTTCAATTTACCAATTTCCTAGAGCATTGAATTTTAATTACTGACAAATAATTTACGTTAATGCTGAAATGGAAGATTTATCCAAAGATAACTTAAATTATGCAATGGTATGTGTAGATGACCTTCTAAAGGGAAAATGTTTTCAATATAATTTATTGATAGAGAATAATAATAAGAACAACAATGCTTGTTCAGACCAACCAAGACATCTTGAATGAGCAGTTTAAGTAATAGTGTAAACATAATGGTTACCTTTTGCATGTAACCTCCAAAATGCAAGGACATGTTTGACATAGTCTTTTTCTTTTTTGCATCTTCCTCTGCTCTCTTTCTCGATTCTTCCTCTTCTTTTCTGGCTCTTTCCTCCTATCATAATATAAGTACACAAATATCAATTCTTTCCCCTGCTCTTAATTTTTATCCTGAAGATGTTTGTAAAAGATCATTGCTTACAGCAATCCTCGATTGTCTCTCCTTCTCTTTCTCAGCCCGAATCCTTTGCTGTTCTGCTCTTTCTGCTCTGCGGTTTTCCTGTAGAGATGGAAATGAATTTAATCAGAAAATTTTGGCATGTAAAGTCATAGGACCATGGCATGATTATAGCACAGAAGGAGCCATACGGCCAATTGTGTCTGTGCTAGACCTCTGCAGAAGCAACCTGCCTAGTGCCACTTTCCAGCCTTTTCCAATACCCCTGACATCTCTTTTTAGATAATGATCTAACTTCATTTTGAAATTCTGAAATGGCTATGCCCCTACCATAGTCTCAGGCAGTGTATTAATAATCACTCTTAATCACTTATTGTGTAAAAAATAGTTTTCACACCTTATTTGCTAATTATCATTAAGCTTTCCCTCTGGTTCTTAATCCGTCCATAAATGGGAACAGTTTCTAATTATCTAATCTGTCCAGATACCACATGATTTTGAATATCTCTATCAAAGTTCCTCACTACCTCTCTAAGGAGAAACAACCTCAATGTCACCAATTATTTTTTTACATAACTATATTTCTCATCCTTGGGACCATTCTTATGAACCTTTTCTAAATCTCTCCAATTCCCTTGTAACACTGAACAACAAAGCCGAGATAATTAATATATATATCAGGAATAGTAAGAATCTTAATACTACAAAACATTTCTCCCGCCCAAAAAGAAGGCCATTCACCACTGCTCTCAGTTTCCTGTCACTCAGGCAATGTAATATCTCTTTTGTTGCTGTCACTTTTGTTCAATTAACTCTAACTTTTCTTACAGCTAGGTGCACTTTATTAAATACCACAAGACTGTGTCCACAAATAAACCATATTATCTTCAATAACTCTCTGTATTACCACAAAAAATGCCACAATTTAGGCATAAATTCATGCTGGCCTTTCTTAATTAACCAATATTAAACCCAGTAACTATTAACTTTGTTCTGATTACTTGTTTCCAGAAGCATTCCCACTACTGAAGTTAAACTGACTGGCCTATCCTGCTGGTCTTATTTTTCCTGCTGTTTTAAACATGGGTGTAACACTTGCAATTCTTTAGTCCTCTGACACTACACTAGCTTAAGGAAGTTTGAAAAATTACAGCTAGTATCTCCGCAATTTCCACTGCCACTTTCTTCAGTATCCTTGCATGAATTTCATTCAGTCATGGTGCCTTGGTTACTTTACACAGACAGCCTATCTAATGCATCCCCTTTATCAATTTGAAATCCTTCAAGTGTCTGAAATACTTTCTCTTTCACCATGACTTAGCCAGCATCTTCACTCTTAAGGAAGAGGATATCGAATATTCATTTACTACCTCTGTTATGTGCAAATATTATTTTTTGTCCCTAATTAGCCCCACTTCACCTCTTCCCACCCTTTTATTTCTTTATATGTTCACACCAGCCTCTTCTCATACTCTCCAGCCTCAACACTACTTTTATCCCAGTCTATATTAGGACAAATAATTCCCCATTATGACTACACTACAATTTTTGCACTTCCATTTAAGTTCCTTGTAAATTTGTTCCTCCTCATCTTTCCTACTCGAGCACACTGAGCAACGCAAATAGACTTTTTGCATTCCTCATGTCTGGTTGAATAGATTCGTCCTCATCTATCTAGACTATCCTTTCTTTCCAGCATGGTGATGTTCTCTTTAATCCAGACTGCCATTCTATCTCCTTTCCTGAATACCTTGCAGTCAATACCAGCTCTGGCCTTCTTTGACTTGGGTCTTTGTTATTCCCACAACATATTTCCACATAGCTGTCTGAAATTTGCCGATCTTATTTACACATTCCACAAAATGATGTAAAGGGGCTTTAAACTCTAAGTTATATTTTTAAACCTTTTTCTTACATGGAATCCACCCAATCCTGTCCTATCTCCTACTCAAGCACCATCTTGTATTGTCCGATATTCTTTGCACATTTATATTTCTCTCTCGTTTTACCTCCTGGTCCTTATGCCCTTGTCCTGTTAGTTTAAACCCTCCCAGTCGCACAAACAGGTCACCCCACAAGGGAATTGGCCCCAGCTCTGTTAAAGAGTGATCCATTTGTCATGTACTGTATCCCCAGAACTGAGCTTAATGTCCCAAGAATCTAAATATAATCTGCTATATTCTGCCATATTCACTTGCATGTGGCATGGAGTGTAATCTGCAAATTACAACTTTTAAGATTCTGCTTGCTAATTCAATTCCTAGTTTTCAATTTCAAATGCAGCACCACATCCCTCTTTCTACCTACATCATTGTTATTGATGTGGATGATGACCACTGGAATTTTACTTTTCCCTTCATGTTTGGCAGCCATTCATTCACATTCTTAAACCTGGCAAGTGAGGGACTACGTATCATTCTGGATTCACATTCACAGCTGCATAAACACCAATCCATTCCCATAACTGTAGAGTCATCTAAAATGATTAGTTTTTTAGTCCTCTTCACACAGCCCTCTATAAAGCTGAACCAACCATGGCACTAAGGCCTTGGCTCAGGTTGAACTCACATGCATTTACCGCTAACAGGATAGAGTGCTGTAAGCAATCCTCCTTTCAGTGCAAGACCCAAGGGCTTATTTGGCTTACGGTGGTAAGAGATGTATCACTAGCAGATTTTAATGAGGAAAAGAAGTTATTCCGTCTTAGTTATGGTGTCTAGCCAATCAGAATACAACAATGACACATCTGTCTCAGTTGGGATCAAGAAGTAGACTCTTCTTTTCCCTATCTAATACTATATGACATCAATAGATCAGGTGGATCTTAATGTCGTGAAATAACCACACAGAGGATGATAGCCCATCAGCAAGTCACCCTTTATTTACATGTGCATAGTATATGGGCTGTGACCGGCCAGCTGAAATCCAGTCCCTAGACTGAGGAGATCCTCTGAATCTCCTGCTTGTATCTATCAGCCAGGCTCCCTGATTGACCCAGGTCAACAACCACAATCAAGTATCTCAGTCAATAAGATCCATCTGGCCCTAGTTCCAATTACTACATGATGTTTTCAATGTTAATCCTTTTGGAACTACTGCTTAATACAACATCCCAGATGAGCCATCACTTTCATAGGTATTCAAAATTGGACACTGTTTGGAAAATGAGATGCAAGTAGAAGACCCCTATACCACTGGCCCATTTCTCAATGATTGTCTGGTAATCATTCATTCCTTCACTCCTACAAACTCTTAAGCTGAAGGATGAGCACACCTGTAAACCTTACTGTCCACAAAACGCTCAACCTTGCAGATGCACTGTAGTGATACCAGCTGCTGCTCACGCTCCACAAATCAACAGGAAATTCTATAACAAATACAGGAATTTCCAATAATCATTGAGATATTTAATTATCTGAAAAAAAAAGTGGTTTGGTGGCAAATTTGGAGAAGGTTGAACAGTGAGATTTCTTTTGGATTCTTCTTGCAAAAATCTATGAAGTTATTTCAAGCTTTACTCCATTAAGGTCACAAGAGCAGAAGAGCAATCAAGAGAGGGGCTCCCTATTTAGCAAGTGTGTAACTCCTCAGCCTTTGGTTGGTTGGTCCATCAGTGGTTAATAATTCAGATAAAGTCAGGAGGTGTGGATGGTTGAATAATGATATTGTTGTCCAAAAGGAGTCCAGACTAGTCTCAGGGCCTGTAGTCCAGAAGCTTGTGGTTGAACGTTTTCTAGTTATCACCTTTACAAAGCTGAATGAAGAGGCACTGATGATCTTTTTTTAAAAGGATCTCTTCTGACTTAGCTTTCTGCTTGTTTAGGTGACTGGGCACCCTTATGTGCCCAAGCTATTACTATCTATGCCAATGGTATACAAACAATGGAGACATTCAAATCCAGAAAATGCTGAAGACTCACATTCCATAACTTACAGCTTTCACAGAATAAGTCCCTAAAAAGAAACAACTCACAATCCTTTCTTTCAGAGCAATGATTTCCTCCTCTTCTTTCTTTCTGTTCTCAAAGTGCACCTCAATTAAGGTCTGTAATTCCAGAAGATCCTTCTCCATACGTTTCCGATGGATGTCCTACAAAATTGATGGTCATAAAAACAAACTTCAACGTGTTTGAAAATCTCCCAAATTTTTCATGATTTAAACAGACAGATAAGCATTGCTAAAAGAAAACACAAATTGAAATTTTTTTTGTCTTACATCCATCAGGACTAAGATGAAAGATTAAAAAAAAGGGACACCAATTTATATGGGTTGAGGAAAGAGGGCTGAGTGGTTGGGTTATCATTGGCACAGAGATGCAATAGAAACAGTTATCTGTCAATCCTAGTTCTCAGACTGAATAGTTATACTCTGATTGTTCAGGGTGTTACCATGCGAATGAAGCAGAGATTAACTATCTGCATAGCAAGTTGAGTGATAAAGGAAGAGTCTGGGTTAATTTATTACACAGTTTTGAATTGGCTAGTTGTGTACAGGGTTAAAATTGCAGATGTCATAACTGACCCTAGGATATTAAGTTAACTAAGAGGGCTTGCATGTCTGGATGCTGGGAAGAAACCATATTAAAGTTGGATATGATGGTCCCAATAGTTAAATAACAGGAACACACACAAAACAGCCCTGAGGGTAATAAGGACAAATTATATCCTCTGGTACAAGAATCCTGAAAAACAGAACTAAGCTATTAAGGGGTGAAATCAGGAAATAGTGTTTCACACAAAAGGCAGTGAAAAATCTTAAACACTCTTTTCCAAAGGATGCTGCTCAACTGGTAGCTTCACAACTGAAAATAATCAATTTTGTGAGATACAGGGTATCCAGAAAATGGATTTATAATGCAGTGACAATGTGCCTATATCTGAGGCAGAAACTCCATGTTCAGATTCTCATTCAGATCCTGATGGCCATGAAAGCAGTGTGCATTTGTCTGCATGTTCAAAAATACTAGGTGAGGGGAGAGGGAGAAAAAGGCTATTAAGAAGTTTAAAACAAATAACTAATTGAAGTAAGAGACAACAAGGCGTAGAGCTGGATGAACACAGCAGGTCAAGCAGCATCAGAGGAGCAGGAAAGCTGACGTTTCGGGTCCAGACCTGAAATATCAGCTTTCCTGCTCCTCTGATGCTGCTTGGCCTGCTGTGTTCATCCAGCTCTACACCTTGTTATCTCAGATTCTCCAGCATCTGCAGTTCCTACTATCTCTAACTAATTGAAGTGTACAGATCAGCAGTGATCTGTTTGTCTTGCAGAACTTGCTGGAGGGGCTGACCTACTTGCACCATTTCCTTTGTTAACCTAAAAAGGGCCAATCAATATCATGCAAGAGAGTAAAGGATACACACGGGTGTACGTTCAAGAGAGAATGTGTAACAAGGGTCAAGAAAGAAATCTTAAAATTAAAGTTAGCATTCGGCTCAGGAACAAAGTTACAAATAAGGAAATTGACAGTTTAGATGCTTACATCAAAGTCAACTCTTTCTCCATCTGGGATTTTAGGTGGCACAATGTTGGTCATAAACAGTCTATAAAAGCAAAACAAAGAATGCATTAGATTATATTTGCTGCTCACATATTTACTGAGCTCGACCAGGAAATGTAAATGCAATTACACAGCTGGTTATGGGCCTACTGCTGGAAAGTGGAGTTAGTGTAGATTTAGAATAGTTTTTGCCAGTGCAGAATCAATGAGCCGAAGGATCTCTTCTGTACAGAATGATTCTATGCGAGAGACATTGTTAGAGAGACCATGAGGAAGACTCAGATGGTAGGTCACACTCCTTTGAAATCCTCCCTGCACTAAAATCAATGTGACATCATCATAGTGGGTGGTACCTAAGGCACACTTCAGCATTAACCTTTTCAGACATCCTTACTCCTTTATACAATAGATTAATTGCTGTAGCAACGTGGGGAAATGCAGCAGGCAACATCAAGGAGCCATAAACTGCAATGAGATCATGACAAGATGATTTTGATACAATATTGGTCAAGTAATTAAGAGAATAATTCTGCTATTAATGTCCATTTGAGAGTACACACAGAGTCTAACATAAAATATAGCACGCCATCAAATACTGCACTGAAAGTTCAGTCAAATCTCTGGAATGGGACTTGACTCTGTGCCTGTGTGTGTCCATGCATGTGCGCATACATGTGAGAGACAGAAAGAGAACACTGAACCACAGGCAACCACACAAGTATCAAACTATCAGTAGGCAGTCATGATGCAATAGCATTTAGCTTCAAAAATGACTGACAAAATTAGCTGCACTTACTTTGGCTTGGGTTTTCCTTCATAGGGAACAGAGGGAGAAAATGAGACAATAATTAGTCAAATTTTATTAAAATTAGAATAAAAACATTAACCAAGTCTGTATTACTTCTGTTGGATGATATCATTGCCAATGCTTGCAATATAAGACTTTGCATTGAAAAGTGATGCATTAAATACTTATAAATTGCGAATAATGTTCAGACCTAGCATTGAGAGAAAAAAAACAACCAAAAGTAATGTAAGATGTCTTGAGTTAGTCAGCTAGAACATTGCCTGAAGATCAAGCCAACATAGATTAGGTTGCTTAATATTTTGTAGTCAATTTATTTATGATTGTCTCCACTTAGTGCTTCTACATATATAATGGATAAGTCCATTTAAAAATCAACAACTGATAAAAAGAAACAAGAGTTAATGTTTTAGTTCCAGTGACCCTTCTTCAGACCCTTCTTTTTCTGCTCTGAAGCAGCATTACTGGACAAAAAATGTTAACTCTGCTTTCTCTCCACAGATGTTGCCTGATCTGCTGCGTTTTTCCAGCAATTTCTGGTTTTACTTCTGATTTCCAACATCTGCAGTTCTTTGGTTTTTTTAAGACCAGGGTTGTTTCCACTAATGGGGAAATCTCAGACTTATGGACATGAGGTTACAGAATAGGAGCAACACTCATTTAAAACTGAAATGCAAAAGAATTCTAATTTTCTACCCCAGAGAGTTGTGGAGGCTCGATCACTGAAAGTATTCAAAGAGGAGGTAGAAAAATGTTTGAAAATTTGGTGATTTGAGGACGGAGATAAGGCTGCATGGGAGACAAGTTGACACCTGGGTTACATCAACCATCAATGGCAGGACAGGCTTTAAGAGCCAAATGACCTATTCCAGATTCTATATATACACAACTCTGTTTGCAACCTTTTCCAGTCATAGCTGTCTGTTAAATGAAGAAAACTTATAAATGAGTTATAAAAAGTTAAATAGAGCAAAGTACTGCAAATCTGAAATAAAAAAAAACAGAATGTGCTACAGAAACATATTCTGGCACTCCACCAGACCCCTATCCCCAAATGCCTTTCCCCTCCTATATCCACCCCACACCTCGCTTATTCTGCACCTCACTTACTGTCTTACCCCCTTCCCCCATTCTCTCACCTCCCCAAATCTCTTCAGGTGCAAGGGTTCAAGTGCTTTGACAGGTAATTTGACGTGTTATGTTAATATGAAAACAAGCTCCACAGATATTAATTCTCAAACTTTATGGTTTTTATACATTCTGTATATTGGAGCGCAAACTCTTTGGCTACAATCTTTGATCATACCTTTGTTTACAAACACTGCAAATATTCTATCAAGGGAGAAGATGTTTTCTTTTTGCTGAAAATGGAACTTACGGTGATGCTGAATGGACTGAAATTATTCCAGCTTGTCAGAGATAAATCTTTATATAGATTGGTATATCTCTAATTTCTACTAAATATTTGTTCTGACGCATTGTAAGGTTTTTATTGTGATGAAGTGTATGAAAGTAACAGATATCCATAACACTAAATGGAATAATTTTTATTTAATTGTTAGTTTCTGGCCAAACTTGGCAAAAACAGAATGAATGAAAGAATATGACAATTAATTGAATAAGTTTTCTCAGCAAAATAATTATCTACTTAACAGTAGTTTCCTCTGTATAAATTCATTGGTGGTGTCAGAGACAATAAATTATAAATTGGGACATCAGTTATTTATCCCACTATGCAAACTATCTGAATAAGAGGTTATAATCAGGTGGAGTGGTATTTGTATTTTTGCAAGAAATCACCAATGTTTATTTATATAGCACCTTTAGCAAAGTAAGATTTCCTGAAGCACTTTGCAGGGCTATTACAAAACAAAAAGTGAAGCAAAGGCCGAGTAACTTCTATTAATGATGGGAGTGTGTCCAAAGGATCTCAGAAGGAAAAAAAAACTTTCTCTGTACCTCCATCTCTTGTATCTGCTTCTGTAAAAAAAATGCAGATAAGGCATTATTTTAAAAATGAAAGAAAATACAAACTGAATAGACCCTTGAGCCCTCCTTGTGACAATTACAGCGCTGGTGGTTTCAAACATTGTTCTTTCAATGTGTGCTTTGATACTAGCAAAGAATCAGTGAAAGTCACATACCAACCCAACTCGGTCCACTAAATAAAAAATAAAATCCCTTTATTTTGCTCGTAAGCTAGAAGTCTGGACAGACTGCAAAAACTTGCACGGAAAACCTCCTTTGCTTAGTAAGGCAATGCACTCAATTTTAGTATTGACATAACTGAGCTAGACTTCTTTTTAAACGGAGCCAATAACATATCAAACCTAAAGAGCCAATGATGATTTTAAGCAATTAGTATTTTCTTCAGAAAGCATATAAATTAAGCTATATGCGCTGGGGTGTAGTTTGAAATGTTCAATTTATTTTTCCTTTTTCTCCTTCATACCTATTGCAAACATATCACATTCTCAGTCCACTTATTTCAAATGGATTAACAATTGTGTGTTAATTTCTACTTCAGAATTATGGAGGTGATTTGCTACGTCCAATGGTTTACATGTTTTGTATTGGTGGGGGTGGGGGCCAGTATCAGCCAAGAAAAGAAATTGACTTAAGGACAGAAAATAGCAGTCTGTGGGTCTCCGACTGTAAGATTGTGGTATTATTTGGATTATCGTGTTGTTGTCAGAACTATTAATTTTTTGACACATAAATGACCTTGGATGCAAAGTGCAATTTCAAATGTTAATTACTTGAACGTATGGCCAATGGTGATTTTAGAGGACAAAGATAGCTTGTAGAATGGGCAGACAAAATTTAATGCAGAAAAGTGTGAGATGATGCACTTCTGCAGAAGGAATAGGAAGATGCAATACAAACTAAATTGCACAATTCTATAAAGTGTAAAAGCACCAAGAGATCAGAATATTAATGTGGGTAAATTTTGAATCTGGCAGATCATGTAGACAGCAGTTAGATAACCATATAGGACGTTGGACTTCATGACTTAGAGGTATTGAATTCAAAAACAGGGGATACTGAGCCAGTGTATAACTGTAGTTAGCCACAGTTACAGTATTGCTTCTATTGCAAGTACTCCAATTTGAGAAAGGATGTGAGAATTTTTAAGTATACAAGGAGATTTTTTTTGTTAAATTCCAAGGATGGGGAATTTTGTAATAAGAATAGTTTGAAGAAACTGGGATCATTCTCCTTGGAGTGAAAGAAATTGAGGGGAGGGGAGATATAATTGTACAAAATTATAAAAGTTTTAGATTAAAATTTTGTTCCCATTATCGAAGATTCAAGGGCTATAGGACACAGGTATAAAGCTTTGGCAAGAGAATACAAGGAGGATGTGAGGAAGAACATTTTATGCAATAACTGGTAATGATCTACAGCCTTCAAGTGTGGTAGAAATAGAGATGATTAACAATTTCAGAAGGAAATTGGAACAGCCCTTGGGTGAAATAAACTTTCAGGGCTCTGGAGAGAACAGGAGAATGTTGATTGCTGTCACATACCTCGTGTAAAATGGATGCATTAAAAGAGAGTGGAGTTGCACCTTTGTCATTTAATCATGGAAATGCTGGATAGCAATTTCAAAATAATCTCAAATCATAATTTTATATCAAGTGTAGTGTATGTATTCCATGGAAGCATTTTCTATGGTTTAAAGCCGCTTTTATTAGATATATTAGCACATAGATGAAATGCCACATATAGGAGAAAAGTACCACTATGCTGCTTCAGCTGAGGGTCATTGAGCTGATAAAGGTTTGTGCTGTTTCAGTAAAAATATCACATGGACTGGAGCAGCCAAGGAGGTAGCTTACCAATGTGCTTGAGAACTAACAGGGATGGACAATAAATCTTAGCTGTGCCAATGATGTCAATATCCCATGAATGAATAAAAACTTACCATACAGACAAATAACAGAATAGTTAATTATTCCAATGCATCATAATTCTGAAGATAAAGTTAGAATAAACTTTACATAAATAAGTGTTTGTGGTTTAAATAGCAGATGCCAGTGCATTAAGACATATATTAGAGATGTGAAAGCAAAGCTGGATTGATGTTTTCAATCACCTGTGTCGACAGTAAACAATATTAAAATTTGCTACTGTATTCCCTATATTGCTGATATTTTTCTTTGCATTATATTCAAACCTTTGTTTACCTCAGCCCAGAAAAAAATAACATTTTGACATTAAGTGCTGAATAAACCTGGACTCAAGATAAAGTATAGCCTTCGGAAATGACTGAGTTCAGCAATAATCATTTTGTATAGACTTTAGAATCCATTTAACAGCAAACTATTAAATTGTATTTAATAGTAACTGACAAGCAAACTGATCAATGATATTATTTGTGGGAATAGATAGAACAAAAATCAATGCCACTGGTAGAGTTCAGTGGGGAGTTTTCAGTTCTAAGCAGCTTTTTGTTTGTTCAGTTTTGTAAATGTCTTTTTTTGATTCACCATTGATGCTTTTGTCAACATTACATTGAAATCTACTGATACAGCAAATCCATTTGTTTGTATCTTTTTAATATTGTTTAGTCTGCACCATCTCAAACTCAGGGCAGGGACAGAAATCACATGCCCTGGTAGTGCTCCTGGACTGAGCCCCTAGCCTCTGACCCAAGCTTAGAAACCACGATCCCAGCTGTGCACAGCAGACTCCCTCAAGCCCCAGGCCGCAGTTATTTGGCCCTGATATACTCCCTGGCCAAGGTGACCTTCCCCCCACTCCCATATCTCTCTCAGCTACAAACTACAATGAGCTTGTATTCTAAAGTTTGAGAGTTACTTGAGGCCATAGATCATCCAATATTTGTTTCCTCCATCTGGGAAAGTGCCTGGCCATCCATTCTGCTCCTTGCTACATAAGTATAGCCAATACTGGAAATTGATTGTATTGAGGAATTATTATTGCCATGCGGTTTATTGTCAGCCTGTGATACAGAGTATTGGAATACTGATATTATAAAAAAGTCTTTAAAGCTTTCAGAAATATTCTTTACCTCTGGTCGTCCAAGTTCCAGTTTTGATCTCTTGTGAATGATGATCACAGGAATCTTGGGAGTGAGGTCTACAGTGTCAGCGAGTTACTGACCCACCTCCCCATCAGTCAGTGCCACATATTTTGAAGCTGTAATATCTAGTCCCAAGCTTCAACAGGTATGTGAGGCCCTCCTCCATTGGCAGACAAATGTCTTTACTAAATGTCTAAAAGGATTTACGACACCATTCAAACCTCAAAATGATTTTAAACTTGGATTCCCTGACTCATTCATATTGCTACCCATTTCCAGGGAAGACTGCAGTTACTTGAATCCTAGCCCAGATAAATGCTTTTACAATTTTTAAATTCATTTCTTGTGAGTTACTGATAACAGGAGAGGTCCAGCAGGCCCTACAATTAAACTTCAGCCCTTCTCAGCTTTGGGATTCTTTCAAGTTCCTTTCTTCCCTGCAGCTCTCATCTTGTTTGGCACCATTTCTTGAACCTCTAACAGTTGTCAGTCAATTTAACGTTCCTGCCTGCTGTCATTTTTGCTGATTCCAGGTGAGAGTTTGATTTTAAAATGTAACAACATCCCGCACATTCTTACCCCCCACACTGCTACTCCCACTAAAATTAAAATTGAAGTATTGGTAATTAACCCTACTGATCCGATAGGTCAGTATAACCCTGTGCATGTCAGAATGTGAGAGGCCATGTGTATTTGCATTTGATTATGGTTAAATCGTAGCATCTGCAGCTCAAAATTTCCATTTCAATCCCATAGTGGAGGATTGCAGTGCTGAGTGATTATTAATCATTAATCATTGACATTACTTCCTAATTAACTAAAAGTTCATTTTATTTTAATTTACCCAAGGGATGTGCACTTGAGAGGCAGCTGTAATCTGTAAGATGTCCACCATCGAAAATCAGCATATTTTCAAATATCTTGGTACATAGAATGTAATGCTATAGTCTGCTTCATGTGCACAAAACTGCAACATACATTTAGTGCTGAATATCATTGAACCCATTTTAGTTTAATTATCCATAAGGAAACACTCAATCCTACATTGCAAGTTTCATCAAACTACTATTACTGCTCAGAATCCTTACTGCTTGATGTTGACTAAATTTCTCTTAGCTACTGTGCACTAAATGAATTGATTAAATCATTTCAAGTCTGTCAATTCTAACATGTGCAATGTTTCTATGAATTGTTCTACAGGAAAGAAAATATTAAAATTTTGCCAGGCTTAATTTGAGAAACTTCCAAATAATTATGACGATCAAAATGTATTTGTCTCCCAGAATTAATTGTCAAACATTGTGACTCATACTTTATTTTCAGGGATGTAATCTCTGTAAAACTGTTCCATAAAAACTCAGGGACAATTTCAGATAGGAACACATTACTGAAGCTACCTCAGTAGAAAAGATGGGTTGTGTGATTTTGGGTACAACAACATTATCTATCAATTGTCTAACAATGAAAAATAAACATCTGGACCATAAATTATAGTTAGTTGTGGTTACATAATATCAGTAAGGAAAAGCAAGTGGGAACCCTAGAAGCACAAAGAGAGGCTACAAGTGCAGGAACTGCATTATTAATAAGATAGTGCTGGCCTTGGGAAAAAGACAGAGAATAATTGTGTAAATTATGAGGAAACAGTTGAAATATGGTAACTGCAATATGTAATGTACTAATATTTTTAATAAAGCTGGGAGGTATCTCTAACTCAGGCAGAGATGGTTTTATGCTTCATGGTGATAAGATTATCTCTCCTTGCATATACATGGGAATTAACGGTTATTAATCTTTTTCCTGAGTCTCCTATCTATTTGGCAAGCTGTGCGGCAATACATAGCATCGCTGATTCTGTCTTTGCTACAGCTGTGTGTTACAGGAAGGAGGGTGAATGCTAAAATGATACATGACAGTGTAACAACCATTTGGCCATTCCAGTTATCAAACAAAGCCTGAAGACACAGGAAAAGCAGTTAATGATTACAAATAAAATTCCTGAGTTTTGTTACATTTCATACCTTGAGCCTCTCCAGCAATTTTATTTTCTAGGAATTAAAATTGCAAATGAAATTTTACTTAATCAGCTAAAATTATTTTCAACAATTTTTCATCTTAAATGAGACACAGTTTTTGATAAGAGTGACAGTGAAACTCTCAGCCCTTGCATCATTATTGCTCTGAAATTGACATCAGTTTCTGGAGTCTGTATATGTACAATTAAAATCTGCTGACAGCTATTCCATGCTTTGCTAGAGTGTCTACTATTGAAGACCCCACAAATTGTAATCTACTGAATTGGTGAGAACTTCTACTTTTACACTATTGAAATAGGTTACAACTTGTTGAATTTTGTAAAATTGGTATCAACAGCATTCTAAGGTTATTTAGTGAATTTTGAATTAATTAACTCTTTATTCAGATTACATCATATATAACCACTTTTTAAAGTATTTATTTAGATAATAAAATTAGAAAAGAAGTTTGCTATCCTCAAGTCTTGTTTGCCCTTGAGAAATTCTTAACCAATTTTTACAAAGGACATTTCTTCCACTTACTCATTGCACTATGGTTTGAGCCAGCCCTCTGGGTACGTTACATTGTCTGAAAATGAATCTGAACCTCTACTCTCAGTGGAGCATAAATGCTCCTAGGAGCTGTTCCATTTATAGATTCAGGAAGTTAAAAGCTACAACTCATTCTGTCAAACATGTCAATCATTACATAACGGATGACTAGACCAAATAATAATAGTCATTACATTTAGCTTTGATCTTTTGACACCTTTATAACTAGTGGGTTTTATGTGCATAAATATATTTAGAAGATTAAGATGTAACTTTAAACTTCTTACATCTATGATTGAAGTAGAACTTGAGTTGAAAATAACAAAGATGCAGGTCCAAGTAGATTTAAATCACATTATATTAATCTAATTGTTACACTATGTTTTAAAAATCTTTTAGCTTATTAAATGGCAGAAGAACAAATTGCATTTTATTGCTATCATCGTGCTCACACCTTAGAATGTTTTATGACACTTTGAATGAAAATGTTGTGGAGGTGCTGGTGTTGGACTGGGGTGGACAGGGTCAGAAATCACACGACGCCAGGTTATACTCCAACAGGTTTATTTGAAAACAATTAGTAAATTACACCTGAAGAAGGAGTAAGATTCTGAAAGCTTGTGTTTTCAAATAAACCTGTTGGAATATAACATGGTGTTGTGTGCTTTGAATGTAAATGTTGCTAGGATTATAATGCTTGACAAAATGCTTTATTTTACACATCTATGCTTATAATATCACTTCGTGAATGTTAAGTACGGCAACTTTGAGAGTTGTCGTGAGCTCCAGTGAGGGCATTTTGCTTTATGTGATACTCTTCCGATTCCATGAGGACCTGCCAAGAATATATGTCCCACTTCCATCATCACTCACCATCTCACCCACTACCAGGCATGTCTGTGGTAAACTCCCACCCCAGAAAGGTCACTTGTGTTTGAAATAATACAGCAACAGAGAATGTCTAAAGAGATATTCAAACCCAGATTTGCGCTTCATTTTAGCCAGTTATAGCTTCTTCAATTTAATATTCTGATAGTAACAGCCTTTGCCATATAGTTCCCAATGAAGTGCATGCTTTGCATTCAAACTATGAAAGTGCTATGATCTGGCTGTCTCAAGATTTAGGATGCTAGCTGTCACAGCAAAATAAAGAAAAGTAAACTTGTAGCAAAAAGATGATACTTAAAAATCCACTTTGACATAAAATAATTGCAATCATTGTTTCTGCAAAGATGCAAAGGTGCAGCGAGCATTATACCCAGAGGAAAGAAGATGGAGTAGCCACATATTATGTTCATCATTATCAAACAACAGAACTTACAATTCAACAAACAAAACTAATACCATAAAGACAGTGTTCATTTTGGGTCATACACCTCACCTTCTGTGTCTTCTACTTCCTCTTCATCACCTGAAATAAACATTCAAGCAAAGAGAGTTCATTAAGTATTAATTGCCACATATCAGTAGCTATTCCACAAGAGATAAAAAGGCACAATACCATTCCTCTTCAACTTACAGTAATATGAGTCAACAGGTTGACAGTGCAATGTAGTAAAAATGAAATGATGGGAGGAATCCTCTGTTCTCACCAATGGTTACTTTGGAAATGGGTAAGACATATAGTTATGCAGAGTGGTGCTGTATTCACCAAAGAACCTTAGACCTTCAAAACCCATGACCACTTCCATCTAGAAGGACAAGGGCAGCAGATACATGGGAACACTACCATCTGCAAGTTCTCCTTCAAGCCACTCACTATCCTGACATGGAAATGTATTGCCATTTCTTTACTGTCACTAGGTCAAAATCCTGGAATTCTTGTTAAAGAGATTGTGGAGCCAACCTGTGGCATGTGAACTGCAGTGGTTCAAGAAGACAGCTCACCACCACCTTCATAACGGCATCTACGGATGGGCAATAAATGCTGGCCAGCAAGCGATGTCCCACAGTGAATAAAAACAACCAGAACCCTCTGCATCACCCCCTCTGCCAAAATTAAAATCTGAGGGAAAACCCATGGTCAACATTCAAACCACATTGTCTTCTGAGAGCTTTAAGTGACCAATTAATGACTTCCTAAGTGTGTCAGCCTACCATTGAGGGTATTACCCCAGGTACAGGCAGGTGCATCATCCTTCAGTGTACATGGCAGTTGAAGCCACACTGACTGCTAGTTACCTTGGCTGAAGGAGTAGAAGCAATCAAACTGATCGAGGCACTGGACGTTGGGGAGGTGGGGGCATGCCCCTGACTTTGCTTCTGACCCCCCTCTCCCTGTGAATTCCACCCCATTACTCCCTTTCCCTTTATATTGTTTGTCTGTGGCCTACGTCCTCTGCAATCCTGGGACTCTGATTTGTATGCTCCCCACACTGGCATGACTTCCTCAGTGGTGCCGCTGACTGCAAGAGATGCCAGCTTCTATTGGCCAGCAGCTCTAGGTAAGCAGATCTTGCATCCATAGTGTCCTGATTCCAAGGGAAGGCTGTCTGGTGACCTCAACATTGCCTGATTCTTGTGGGGATCAGGGTTTGAGGCTTCGGGGTGGACCTTGCAGAGAAGAGGCAGTAGATTTCTCACTAACCCTCCTGGAAGTCTTGAACCCCTGCTGCCTCAACAGGATATTATGCAAAAGAAAGCTCAGATGGAGGAGTTAAATTCAATTTTTAGCAAAAATGTATTACCAGAGAGAAGAACATTGCTTTTAATATAATGTGCCCTGAACTGCCAATATGGTATTTGTACCTGATGTGGCAATACTTAGTTTATAATGAGACCTAGACATGGGTAACAAACAAATATTACAGGCACAGGCACTTTGGTGTCTGGGCTAACATCAAGCTATTTGGTTGCAAACAGTAGCAATCCTCTATTAGCATGTCATGATTCAACTGGCCACAGTTAAGATGAGATCTGAGACCTTTATACCATCAGGTCACATGTCATAATACAGTGATAATATCATAAGCCTGTCTCTTATAGTTATACTGCACATTATTTATGAGTCATAACACAACATGCTCCTTTCACTTTAGATCTCTCATGTCAACTTGTTAAAATTCTCTTTGGACTGCTGAGCAAGACCAGTTCAAATTGAGTTCCTAGGATCCTCATCCCATTTTGGGAGTCTGAGTTTTTCAGTCAATGTGGCAAAAATAAAATACTTGCTACTCGCATGTTATCAGTTAAACCCTCCACTGAAGTTACAAAGATTGCATTATTTTCATTCCTGGCTTGTAAGACAAAGTTCTCAATTAGAATTCAACAGCAGTTGAGCTGTCGAGCATAACTAAATGATTCTTTAGACATTCAACAATTTACCTTGTTCATCTTCTACCTCTTCTTCTACAACATTGACATTTAAAAAAAACACAAAAAGCAAGTTAGTGCTTCACAAGCCTTGCAGCAAGATTCTGTAATAAAAATTAAAGTTTAATGTTGTTTTTCTTTAAGTGGGACAGTTGTTACTTTTACATTTTTGTGGCTGATTTCTTATTGATTACATAATTACCAAAGAGAGTTTGCCATTCTGGCATAGAATGCTCAGAGATTTTATGAGCAGGTATGTAAAAGGTGATTAGCATTTGAATAAAATAATGTCACCAACTGAGTGTTTCTGAATCTCTACTGTGAAGCTTCAACAGGGCAGTTGCTACATTGCAATCAAGACTGTACAAGGTTCAGCTGAAAATAACTTTGGAAACACACAGCTGATAAATTAGTACAGAGATAGGCTAAATTGGCTCATTCTTTTATGAATACTTATTTACTCCTGCTTAACAATTCAAGTATAGTGTTGGCTCCTCAGCCCTTCCAATGTTGAAAGCAACATTTAATGGAAGAAATGAGTGTCAGGGATGCAGAGACAGATAGAATGTTTTAACACTTCTGTTGATGTAATCTGCAGAACTGTGGCCTTTACAGGAACCAGTCAGGTTATTCCCAACTTCCCACAGATTCACCCTTCCCGTTTCTTTGAGTTGAAAAGTCCAAGTTGAAAAGTTCTTCAGTAAGACTCTGAAAGTTTGTGTTTTCAAATAAACCTGTTGGTCTACAACCTGGTGTTGCGTGATTTCTGACCATATATAAACACACTGTGAGGATTTCAGTCCTGTTAGGAAGTCAAAGGGGGATATCTTTCCTGTCAGAAAGTGTTTTTATTACTACTATATAGTATTTAGTTGATATTGATTTTATTTGTTTATTAGAAGAAGTTTTAAAACATGAAATCTTGTCACGTGATCATTTGAGTCAGTCTCTGAAGTTTCTTTTAAAAAGTTGTTGGTCTCTATGGACCTTGAAACTGGATAGAGGGAAACCTGGTTTTATTTTCCATTCCTAATCAAATATTCTTAGGCCAGTTACAGCACTCCTGACCATCATATTGATCTACATAGTCCCAAGATGAAGTTTCCCTTTAAAAGATACGAGTGTTATCTAAGTGTTCAGCAATGTGTTCACTATTGCCAGACTAATTTTCACTACAGCTTCTATATGCTAGGAGATTATAATTACTTAACTCATAGTTAAACAGTCAAATCCAAAGGAGTTGCTATGTATTTATCAAGGCCAGTTCCTTCACAGCTCAGTTAATCACCGGTTTAAATAGTACAGTTAAAACAAGAGATGGAAAGTTTAAATAACCTCAATACAAATGAGGACACCATTCAATATGAAGCAAGCAATGCACATTAACAGTTTTATTGTTTGGCATGCAACTTCAATGAGTTTAAAAATCTATTTACCATTTTCTTCATGTTCCTCTTCTGCACGGGGACCAGTTTCATGAATTAAAAGTTTGAATCAGTTAATATTGTAAAATAGGATGTTAAAGCAGTATTATAAAATACATGTACAGTCACAGAAACTGAAGAGTTAAACAATGTCCAGTGGAGGAAACAGGTTTAAGACATTTAAGTACAAATAAACTTATAAGTATAGATTTTGCTCTTAGGCTTGTAATACCTACATTAATCATTCTACGTAAATTTTAAATGATGCAAACCAAAATAAAATATTTATACACTTCATAAATAAATTAGAGAACTTTTCAGTCTTGGAAATCTTTGATCAATTGAATTCATGTACGACAGAGTGTCTCCTGACTGCACAGTTCGAAATACCTGCCTTCATGGTTTTGGTGCTGACGTATCCCTTGTTGAATTGAAACTGCTACAAAACAACTCATCCTCAACCCCACAAACAAAGACATTATTTCCCCAGACTACTGAATTAATAGCCATAGATTTCTATCATTATTTAAAAGAACAATATTGTGTAAATAAGATCAAAATGGTAGTGTTCAATGTTATAAATG